TGCTCAAGATCCACTTTTTTCCTTTTTCTTCTTGAAGACAAATCACGCACGGGCAGAGGCACGGACCGCTGTTGTGACTTGCGATTGTTCCCTTCCTCCTTTGTTGCTGTGAGCTCTGTGTTGAAGAGGCGCTCGAACGAAGGCGCTCCCTGGTGCAGTAATGAAGAGCTGTGCTCTCTAGAAGCAGCTAGTTAGAACATAGCTGCTGGAAGGATAGAAACGCAGAAGATATGCGATGAGATAGTTGTGTAATATATTTATACGGAAATGAGCTTATTTATAACGAACTTAAAGGGAAGACAACGGCAAGCTTGAAAACAGTGAGCCCGGCAAAAATCAGTACCGGAGTACCACAGAAGTTTATTAAAAAAAAAAAAAAAAAAGCAAACCATGAGCGAAATGCTCGTGCGTACAAGGCAGCTGTACTTTGTTTTGCTAAACGCTGTGGGATGTTTACAGTTCTATTTAATTTTGAGAGTAAGCGTAAAGGAAGCCCACGCGCTGAGCCCCCTTCCTCCCGCGGGGCGTTCCTGCGCATGCGCGCTGCCGCCACGCTTTTGAGCGGCGCCCATATCTCCCCAGTAACCGCGGCTCCAATCCGCGCGCTGCAAGATGGCGGCCGCGGGAAGTGCGGCGCGCGGCAGCGGAGGGCCGTAGGGTAGGGGCGTTCCCGGCCCTCGCGGCGCCGTGCATGGAGCCCGTCGGCAGCCCGCTGGACCCCGGGCTCTCGCAGCAGGGAACGCCGCGTCTGATCGTGGAGGACTCGCAGCCCGAGGGCGCCGGCCCGGAGCGGGACGCAGAGCGGGCCCGCCTTGGCGCGCTGGCTCGCCGGCTGCCGCTGCGGCGGAGCCCCGTGCTGGTGAGCGCCCCGCGCGGGGCGGGGGCCGGGCTCGGGCCCGACCGTCTCTGACGCGCGGCTGTGTGTTGCAGGAGATCGTCCGCGGGGCAGCCCGGGAGCGGCCCGCAGCTGAGAGCGGAGCGCGCGGCCGCGCTGGCGGCGCGGTGCTCGCGGGGCCGATGGAGAGCGCCGCCGAGGAGACGCCGCCGCCCGGCCCGGACAGCAGGTGAGCGTGGAAATCGGGCCCCGGTCTCCGTCTGCCGGCGCTTTCTCGCCCCTTGAGACTCCTGTCGTGCGCCGCGTATGGTGTCTCCGGGGCGGTGCCCCTTGGTGGGCCCGGGGCGGTAGCTCCGGCTGTAGCCGCCAGGCGGCCTCGTGGGACGCGGAGCACCGTCGGAGGGCGGCGTGCGGGGAGACCTGAGCGATGTGAACGGGTGTTTGTGTTGCAGTGCCCGCGGGAAGGCCGCAGGAAGATGCGAAGGGGATGATGAGGACTGTCCTGCCTCGCCGTACGCGGAAGGTAACTTGGCGATGTCAGTTACGCATCTCCGTTGTCCCGTCGGGGATGGCCACTCTGATGGTAGAATGTCAGGAATTAGCTTTCCTTCTTGCTGACGTTGCTCTTTATAATTTGATGCTTGAAAATCTATGACAGTTCCCTAATGTTGTAATTAGGGACTCTGCAGACAAAAGGTGGTAAAGTTCTTTACAAGGAGAGTGGTTAGGCCCTGGAACGGGCTGCCCAGGGAGGTTGTGGATGCCCCGTCCTTGGACGTGTTCAAGGCCAGGTTGGACGGGGTCCTGGGCAACCTGATCTAAATGTGTATGTTTGGTGGCCCTGCCAGGCAGGGAGGTTGGAACTACGTGATCCTTGAGGTCCCTTCCAACCCGGGTGATTCTGTGATTCTGTGGTATAGGAGGTGTATGCTGACCACTGGGAGGTCAGTTCTTTTTATGGAGGAGCAAAGAACTAGTATAGTGGCAATGCTAAGTCACAGCTTGAAGCAGTAATGGGGCAGCTGGTGGGAAGGCAGGGCCACCCCAGCGGAGCTCAAGTGCATGTAATGCATTGCACTGAGTGACAGGAAGGGCTGGAGCAGGATCCACCCCTTCCCAGCTCTCATTTAAGGGTTGGCAATGGAGGTGAGGGCATCTTGTTCAAGATCCCTGCCTACCTGAGGCCTTCTGAAGGTAAGCAGCATCTTTCCTTCATTTCTGTGCCTGTGGCTGTTGTATTTGAGTGAATTCTCTCTCGTTGCAGCCTGGGTTCTTGTCATTGTTGTGTTTTCTTTTGTATTACAACTGGCATTGTGATTGTCCTCAAAAGTGCAGGATTGTTTTCATTTTGTGATCATCAAATGTATAGTAGTATTTAATGGTATCATGCAGTGCCTTGCTGCTTAGCACTGGCTTTGGATGTAATGGGCATGGTCACTGTGCTATTTGGTCACGGTGCTGTTCCATATTGCTTTAATTAGTACAGCTGAGATGAGAATATCTTAATTTATTCAGGGTTTTTGCAGTCTCCTCAATTTGTCTTTTGCCTCAGTGTGTCCCTTGCTCTTGTGATTATTTTGTATATGTGTATACTAGTAAAATGGGTGTTTTGTATTAGATGCAGGAACATCACAGCTGCAGTTTGGAGTTCTGGAGCTCTCGCAGAGCCAGGACCTGGAGAGTGATGTCACATCCGATGAAGATGTTAGGAATCAGCTTCACTCTGGAGCTGCTGTCTTTTCTTCTTCCAGAACTGTGAAGAATGATATTAAGGATGGTATGTGAAAATTTTCTTTGTCTCTTTGTTGCTCTGTCATTTTTTTTCTCCTCAATTTAGACTATTATGTGTCTGTGACAGGAAATACGGTATTAGTAGTGTGCAACAGTGAGTTTGCAGTTCAGAGCTGAATAGTGTTTTGCCTTGTCTTTACTTTGGGCTAGTTTCATGTTTCCTTATTGCTATCCAAGTGTCATCATTGGTTCTTGAACCTCTCTTTCCCAGTTTATTTTCAGAACTTTCAGATACTGAATTGTGTCCCTGGTAAAAACCTAATTCCATCATTTAAAAAAAAATCTGTTATCCTTAATAGATCAGTATTAATGCTTTTTATGTAAAGCTTATCTTGATATATATGTAACTTACAGAGTTATCTGTGCTTGTCTTTGTATGTTAATCTAGATGACCTGAGTGACAAGTGTTGTTGTTTTTCTCCACCTTTCTAGAACTGAATGTGAAAAGCAGGGAAACTGTCACCAGCATAGAAACACATTCTGCTTTGGAGGGCCATCTGAAGGCATTTAAAGGGTAAAATAGTCAAAAGGTTTATTTTTGAAGGCAGTGTGCATGGGCTTAATTTAAATAATATACTGAAATCTTTCTTGTGAACAACTGAAATATGTCTTAAAAAGAAGCTTCAGTCATAAAAATTCAAAACCTTAATTATTACCATATGGACATTAGACTCAGGAGAAATCTAGAGGCTAAGTGGTGGTTTCCAGGATTCTGTTGAGTATTTACTACGATAAACTTCATATTTTCAATTATTTTTAAATGTAAATGTTCATTTTGCTGGAAGCTATTTATATTCTATGCCAGATACAAGGTGAACAAGGTGTTATTCTATTGTTGCATTCTGCCACAAAATAGTAAGAAAGAAGTTGAAACTCAATTTGTAGAATTAAAGTCAGTAGAACAATCTGCACTGTGTTCAAGCAGCACTTACAGTGGTAGGAAATTAGAAAACGTTTCTGGAAACTTGATTTGTCAAGGATGAAGATGGTTTTTGTCAAGTGAGAGAGCTGCCTGCTTCATTCATTTTCTTGCTGTGCACTGTTGAATAGCTTTCACCTATGCTGATTGCAGTTGATGCATTGAGTTTCTTGGGTCAGGGACGGTGTTGTTTTCCAGAACACCGCTGGATGCAGAAGAACACTCCAGGAAAGCAATGCCTGTCTCTGATTCGCCTAAAACTGAGAAATGCGCTGACCCAGGTCACGAGGAGTCGGATATCTTGTCGACTCAGGAAGAGATGTTTCCTGAAAATAATGTGACAGGTAACAACAGACAGTCAAAGCAAGAATGACCATCCCAGAGATAATCATAATTATTCTTGCTAGGTCTTTTCAGACATGTAATGCTTTAGAGTGTGAATACTGTGACTATTTTTCAATTAATTTTTCTTAAAATTTCTTACATGGAGTAACCTGGGTAAAGCATTGACTAAACCATGTCCCCTGGTACCATATCTGCATGTTTTTTAAATACGTCCAGAAATAGGGTTTCCCCCACTTCCCTGGGCATCTTATTCCAGCGCTTGACCACCCTCTCCAAAATACCTCATCTAACTCTCCTCAGTGCAACTTAAGGCTGTTTCCTTGTGTCTGATCACTTGTCACCTAGCAAAGAGGCCAGCACACTCCTTGCTATAACCTCCTTTCACTTGCACAGAGCAATGAGGTCTCCCCTCAGCCTGCTTTTCTCCAGACCAAACCTCCATTCCTTCCATTATTCTTCAAAGCCTCTTTTTTTTTTTACAGTTCCTTCACCCTGTGTTTTTGCTTTTCCCTTCATGTGCTCTGGCACGTAAATGCAGTCTCAGTTGATGCTCTAGTTTTAGTTTGTGAACAACTGTGTTGGTACTGGTATAATCCTGTATAAATCCTCTGTGCCTGGGAGGTTCAATAATAGCTTATGCAAACTGAGTCTGTGCTGTCTTTGAATCTATGGAGGTAATGTTGGAGCCACTGTGGATCTTTCTTCTAAAATTCTCAGGTATGAAGATATGTGTAGTCTGCTCTGATTTAAAAAAAAAAAAAAAAAAAAAAAAAATCTATTCTGTAGTTAGAAGCTGCCTTTATCATCTGACATATATCTTGCTCACATTTCACATGCTGAACTTTCACGTGCTGTCCTTCATCCAGTTCAGTGTGAATACAACCTCAGGTAGACAAGGACGAGCTGTAGCTTTCTGATAAGCAATAATTAACATTGCTGGACAAATTTCTAATCTTATTTCCTTTTCTTTAAAGTTGCTGCAGGGAGTGACTGTCTTGTAACCAGAGTGGAAGAGGGAAGTTCTCTGGCATGTACCCCTGCCCGCAGCCTGCACCTCCTGCAGCTCTCTGGACAGGGATCCCTTGTGCAGGAGAGCTGTTCCACGTAAGCAGAAACAAAACAAAAACAAACCAGCAAAAGCAAACAAAGAAAACAAGAACAAAGCTACAAAATGATAACCATGCTGTATTACAGTAGTTTCTGTACCTTTCCCACCACTTCATTTACCTTAATTTGTACAACCATGGCCCTTAGTTTGGGCACCATGTCACCTGTTTGTGTTTGTAGCTCCCCATTTGGAACATCCACACAGTTAAATAGGAATTCTAAAATATTTTGTTTCAGTCTCTAAAGGAGAGGATGTTTGCACGTGCTTTATTAGTCTCCTAGCAACCTTCTGTCAGAAAGCGTCCATATGTGCATGAGGCAGGCTTTCCTTCTGCTAGGTAAGGGATGCTTCAAATAGGAAGCCTTATGGAGAGTACTGATTTGTTTGCATTTTCGTGTAGTGTTATTTAAAGGCTCCACTTCCTCTATAAAGAATGATAATGTAATTCTGTTGTTATGACTCAGATATTTTCCTTTGATTGTGTGTGTGATATATGGGACTTCTGTGTAGAACTGCATGTGTAATTCAGGGTGAGAGTTCACATGTTGCTTCTAGAGTGTCCCTGGTTATGTTTGATGTTGAAAGTCTATATACAGCTGAATAGGGAATGAAGTTGCAGTTTCTAGCTTGTAACCCTGGGCTAATTTTTGAAAAGAGCTCTTCACTTAACTGGCTTTTGCCTGAGAGACTCCTGCTGGGCATGTCAGCTCCATTCCAGCACCAGCTGTCTGCTGAGAGTTCTTTCTTTGACTTGCCCTATTGTGATGACTCTTTTTCATATAATGATACTGGATATGATGTTCTAACAGTTCCTGCTAGCTCTGTTGTCTGTTTCCTTTCCAAGTATGTGTATTTTCTTAGGTGAAAGTAGTCAAAACAGACAGCAGTTCAGATTGTGTTCTGGCAAGGTTTCTTTGACCTTTGAACCTGAATTGCTGACTTACTTTTATTTTTATTTTATTTTGAGAAGACTGGCCAGAACTTTCTGCTTCATGTTTAGAGTGTTCAAATCTCCTCTGCCTACCCACTAACAATAAAGCATGAATAATTTCCTTTTCTCTCTACTCCCCTGCCACATGCGGGTGCTCATTTTGCAGTTTCCCTGTCAACCATGTTATTATCAATGCATGCTTTTGTTTTTCATATCTTAAAACTGTGTCCTTGACACTTTTGCTTTCTCAGTTACTACATTGTTTATTTCTAAGTGGACTATATACACTGTAGCAATTATCTGTAAATGTTTCCTACTGTACAATGTGAAGAGCAAAAAACACGTTCTCAGAACAGATGGGTTAGATGACCAGGTTGTGGTCTGTTTGTTAACCAGTGCTGTTGCAGGCAGTGAGGAGGAGACTACAGTCTCCCTAATTTTCCATTAAGTATGCATTGTCAGGTGACTTTCTAGTCATATTTTTTGTGGTCAGAGTTTAAACCAAGTGCAGTTTAAGTGTAAAATTTCTTCTACAAAGGGGGAGTGTGGCTTTATTTTCCAGTAAAATGAAATCATTGTGCCTGTGTAGTCAGTGTTTCTCAGGTCTGTTGGTAGTAAACCCCTGTGTATGGGAACTGCTGAGTCACAGCTGACCCACTGATTGAGCACCTGGGGAAAGGACCGGTCAGCCCTGGGAGCACAGGTGAAGGAAGTTCAGCTGTGGGACAGGAAGGGGTGCAGCCTGACTGCACCTCTTCTAGAGCTCATTTAAGGGCTGGCTGCCGCTGTGGAAGGATCTCTTCCTGGAGATCCCTCCTTGGTGAAGCTTTTCCCTGTGAACCTGGAATCTTCTGATACGGGTGAGCAATCTTCTTCCCTTCCTTTATGGCACCATAGAATTGTGCCAGTCCTTCCATCATAACATCTGTGTTGTAATGCCTTTCCCATTGTATTGATCTGTCCAATTGCTATACCCCTGGTACTTTTCTCTTGTGACAGGACTTGTATTGTGGCAAGGTAGAGTTGTATTTGGGGAGAAGTTAATACATTTTCTAGTGATGTATTTCCTTGTCCATGTTGCCTTTTCTTGGTCTGCAGTGGCTCTCCAGGTGTAGTTGTTCCTTCTCCTGTTGGCCTAGCATCCAATGCTCTCATCCCTGGCAGTCCTACTGAACAGGACCAATCAGAAGGTAATTTTTCCTGTATGCTCACCTGCTGTTGTTTCTTTGCTCTGTAGTTTAGTTTGGGCATGCGGCCTTTTCAGGACTTGTTCAGATTGCTCTTAAAGTGTAAAGCAGGATTGAGGATGCTTGAAGAACTAGATTTGGGGAGACCTGTAATTGTGACTCCTGATAACCTGTCTATTTCTTGCATAGCTATCACAATAAAATTAATTTTGCTGGCTAATTCTCTTTCATTATGAAGGATGAGGAATGCTTCATATGGAATACAGATTGCTGCTTGCCATTGGCCTCCTTTCTTGGGGCAAGCCATTCTTTGCGTGTAGGTAGGTAGGTGTCAGTCTTAAACACACGCTGTTAGGGTAGTAAGAAAGATGGAAGAGAGCCTCTTGCCTGAAATGACCTTTTCAGTACTTCGGAGTTTTTTGTATGGTTTGTATGCGTGTATTCTAGAAGGTTTTGCCAAGACAGCTTGTTCTCTGTAATATCTTGGCTCTTACACGTTACCTGTTCGCTATCAGGGTTAACATATCCCCACAGACTTTCAGTATTATGGAAAATTCCTGTTCGTTTCTGTGAGAGTTCCATCTCATTTGCTGCACAGAATCTGAAGTACCTCTAGAATATATGTTTAGTTAGTGGGGTTTGAGTATGGTTGCATTTTAATAGAAGTTCCAAAGAGAAAAAAGTCCTCAGAAAAATGCTTTACATAAACCTCAGATGCTTGTTTCTAATTGTAGAAGTTTTGGACCTTAAGTAGCAAGATAGTTATGTGAACTCTTAACAAAACACTTTCTTCTCCCTCCTCTCCCTTGCAATTAAGGATAGTGTAGCAGAAATGCTAAGTCGCAGCCTGAAGCAGTGATGGAGCAACTGGTGGGAAGGCAGGGCCACCCCAGGGGAGCTCAGGTGTGTGTAATGCATTGCACTGAGTGACAGGAAGGGCTGGAGCCAGGACCCATCCCTTCCCAGAAATCGTTTAAGGGTTGGCAATGGAGGTGAGGGCATCTCTCTGCAGATCCCTGCCTACCAGAGGCCTTCTGAAGGTAAGCAGCTTCTTTCCTACATTTGTGTCCGTGACTGCTACATTTGGGCTTGTCCTTATTTGCTGCAGCCAAAGACTTTGCCATCGTGGTATTGTTGCTGTACTTTCCATACACTATAGTGCTACAGATAGTTTTGTTGATTTCCCCATCTTTGCAAATTACTTGAGATGAATAAAGTTCACCCATTGAAGTGTGAGAATGTTGCATAGGCTGCTAAAATAAGTCTTTTAACAGTAATGTTGGAAACTGGGTAGAACACAGGCATCTGCTAGTAATTTTTCTGTTCTTTAAAACTAGATGAACGTGTGGATGTCTCTACCGCTGCTGAAGGAAGAGAGCTGGTGCAGAAGGGACAGAAGGAAAAGAGACTGATGCAGGAGGAGCAGAAGAGAGATGAGCTAGTGGAGATGGTTATTCCATCAGGGCCTCCTGTTTTGCCACAGGCTTCAACTCCAGTGTCCCAGACTGCCCCAGCCTTCTTTCCTGAATCTTTACCTATACCATCACAACCAGTGTTCTCTCATGTGAGTGTTCATGTAAATATCTTTTTGGTTATAATTTTTTTGTGGTTGTTGCAAAAATGTAATTGAGTCGACCTCTGTGCTTCTGTATTGGGCTTCCCTACTGAGATGACTTACAGGAGCTTCCTTTTTCCCAGAAGTCATGTTTGTACATTAATGATGCTCTTCTGTTTGTGTAATTATGTGTAGCAGTTTAGCCTGCAGAGAGAATGTGTAACACCTTAAGATGGCGTAGTTACTGAACGTAGGATTAGTTATCTTTCCATCTGTATTAGAAACTTCTCCTGTGCTTTTGTGTTATTTCTTTAAAAGGCTGCTGATTTTAATACCCAACTGGATGTTCTGCTTCTCAAACTATGTCAGAAGTTGAACTTTATCAGGACTTCCACTTTGATCGTTACTCGTCATGGATAAGCTGAGACTGTTTTGCCTTTGTATTCTACTATGGAATGCTAGAATTCACTTAATGCAAATGTATTTTGAGTGGCTTATTCTTACTGTCGTTTTTGTCAGGATTGCGAAGGGTTTTAGCAGCTACTTGGTGGCATTGTAGCTCAATGTAACAAATTTAATCAATTTAAGGCAGTAAGTAGAAGTTGTGCCAGAGATTTTGGTAGTTGAGGCAGGGTTTTCTCCTTAGCTGAAAGCAGCTTTCATACTAAAATAATAGATTATTACAAAGACTCTTTCCAGAACTCGTTGTTGTTTGACTAAAAACAGCTACTGATTTACCATAGTTGCCTGTGCTTCCTAGTTTGGTAATAGGAGGGGTGAATTAAAGACCTTGTGTGACTGCCACAGAGGTACTGGAAAGTAATGGATTATAATTTTTGTCAGTGAGGTTGTTGCAGTTGGCACTCGTGTATATGGATTAAAAATCTGTTTCATAATCGTTCATCATCTAGAAATAATAAATGGCTCTATTTGGGGTACCCCAAATAGAATGTTCAGTGTCCCACTTAATTTTTTATTTTTTTTTTTAATTTTAGGATATTTTTGTTCCAACTCAGAGTCCAGAGAAGAATGAGGGAGAAGAAAAAGCTGCTGTTTCAACCTATTCATGTATACCAGGAGACCTTTCTGGACCCGCAGATACTTTGTCAAAGATGCCTGTGGAAGACTCTGTGTCACAGCCTTCCGAGTCCTGCAATCTGATGCTTTCTGCAAGTGGATGCAGCCAGCCCACAAACACACAAATCAGTTCAGACTCTCTGAAAACTGGCCGTGATAATGAAGCTACACAGATCCAGGTAACTTCTGAATGTAGCATTTCAGACTTGAGACTCTCTTCTGTGGCGAATGACAACGGAAAAATGAGGCTGGATGCTGGACATCAAGCCCTCTCTGAGAACTGTCAAAAACCAAAACAGGAGGATATATGTACTGCAGGAAAGCCTGTAATGCAGTTAGGTAGTACAGAAATAGCAGGAGATGAGACATTAGACCCTACAGCCCATCAGGCTCATGGGTGTATTTCTGGAAGTCAGGCTGCTGCAGATCAGTCTTGCCCTGAGATTTCATCCTGTTGTGACAGAAGAGAAGCTCAGTTAAAGGATTATTCACCGAGAGGCAGTTCTCAGTATGAGGCAGTTCCTGAGACTCAGCCTGAAGAACAGGAAGAGAGGATGCATATAGCAGAGAAGCAGATGAATGAAGACGACTCTCTTGTTAACACGATTGTCTCTCAGAGGTTCCTTCTTGAAGGGAAGGCAGAGCACCATGAAGAGATGGAAGTAGAATTTGCTGGTGGTTCTTGTGAAAATAGCAAAAAACTGTCTGTTGAGACTCAAGGACTTAGAAAGATTAGACTAGAATGCTGCCGAAAAGAAACTTTAAAAGATGGTACTTTTGGCACTGGAGAAGCAAAGAATGTGGATAAACTGTCCTCTAAAGCTGCTTCAGAAAGCGTGCCAAAGCTGAATGAAGTTTTATCTAAGCCTTCTGTAGGGGAGTTATTAGAACAGCACAATTTGTTTCCTAAATTGAAGATTGACATTCCATCTGAGATGGCATTGTGTGCCAAAAGCCATGCACAAAGTTCAGAATTACATCAGATAATGGAGACTCAACCACAGCAGCAAGAGAGGGAAGCTGACATGCTGATGACTCAGCAGGAGAATCAGGTGCCAAAGAATACAGTGATTCCTGCTATGACAGTGAATCTGGAGCAAGAAGAGCAGATGCAGCCAGAGGAGCAGACAGCTAAGTCCCCCAGTCCTTCCAATGGTAAGTGAATTTTGGCAGTAATTCGTGGGTGTAGGCTTTGAATAACGTCAGTATGTACAATCCTCACCACTGGTCCTCAGTTCACATTAGACAATGAACCTTCAGAGCAGCACTGCAGATTACTCTTACATGCGTAACATGCCTGTACTTTTTTCCCCTTTGTAGCAGTATTGCAGGCAAGAGTGATGAAGTAATTAATGTTCCTAATAGCTACTCACTGCTTTATGGTAGAAACTTTCAGCAATTTTGAAAATTCTGACCTTGGCAATGCTGATGAATTTTTGTAACTACTTTTTTTTTTCTTGAAGCAACAAAACTAGTGTTCTTGAAAGGAAGAGTGTGTGGTAGTCTGATTCTTCTTTTTGCCTCTTTGGCTAGTTGGTTCATTTAGTTCTTTGTTTTTCTATTTCTTTTTCATTTTGAGAGGAGGATTTTCTTTGTGGAGTTGCATATAGCATCAAAAACAACAAATCTATCTTGAGAGAATTTTTTTTTTTTTTTAAGTTGAATGGCTTTTCACAGTCAACCTGTTGATCAGTGTTCCTTCATATATCTTTTTTTTTATTATTTTTTGAACTGAAATGAGATCTTTTGCAGTAAGCTAAAACAAGGGATGGTTCTGGCTGAAACTTAACCTACAACAGATTTTAAAGAAATAAAGGAATCTTTTCACTGTTTTACTGTGCAGCTATGCACAGGGAGGAAGGAGGACCCAGGCAACTACAGGCCAGTGAGCCTCACCTCTGTACCTGGGAAGATCATGGAACAGATCCTCCTGGAAGCCACATTAAGGCGCATGAGGGACAAGCAGGTGATTAGGCAGCCAGCATGGTTTCACTAAGGGAAGACAGTGCCTGGTAAATCTGGTCGCCTTCTATGATGGAGTGGCGGTATTAGTGGACAAAGGGAAGGCAACTGATAACATTTACGTGGACTTATGTAAGGCCTTTGGCATAGTCCCTGGCACATCCTTATATTTGTGTTGGAGACAGATGGGTTTGAAGGGTGGACTATTTGTAGACAAGGAGTTAGTGGGAAGGTTGCAGCGAGAGTGGTGTGGCTTAGTGTCCTGGTAGAGGCCAGTGCTGAGCAGTGTCCCCCAGGGATCCATCATGGGACCCTTCCCTAATCCTAGTGGGACCCTGATCAGGGCCCTTCCAACCCGATCAACCCGTTACGTGATGGTTTAATATGGAGGTGAATGTTGAATGTTTTTGATGCTGTATTTGTTGTTTTCTGTAACGAAAAGAAGGAAAAATAGCTTTATTGTGTAGAAATAATACTCTGGGGGAATCTGGTCCTATGAGGGACAGAAAAGTACACGAAAACATAGCGTGACTAAAAGGATCTCAAAGAATAGTCCAACAAGTGGGAGTAGAAACAATGAAGTTTGGTTGGGTTTTCTTGGCTGCGAGCACATACTGCTGACTTCAGTTTTTTGTCCACTGGAACCCCAAACTCATTTTCCACAGGGCTGCTCTGTTCACTCATTGCCCAGTCTGTGTTTGTGGTCGGGATTACCCTTACCCAGATGTAGGATCGTGCAGTTGGCCTTTTTGACCTTCACAAGGTTCATGTGGGCCCACCTCCCAAGTCTGTCAGGATCAGTCTTGCCTCTCAGCTCGATGTTGTCAGCAGACTTGATGGGAGTGCACTCAATCTCACTGTCCATGTCACCAGGTGTTAAGCAGTTAAAGGCAAAGGTGTTACGCAGTTTTGGTCTCAATACAGCCCCCTGTGGGATACCACTTGTCACTGTTCTCCACCTGGACATTGGGCCACTGACTGTGACTCTTTGAAGGCAGTCACTTACGTGGTTCCTTCTTCTGAGTGGTCCATCTCTGAAGTCTGCCTCTGATTTTGGACACAGGAAGTGTTGTGTGAGGCAGAACAAAGCTTCTTGGATGAGTCCAGCTAGGTGATGTAAATTGCTTTTCCATTATCCATGATGGTAATGCATCATTTGCATGAGGTCAGATTATTAATTCAGGCAATGTGTAGCTTTAACAATTTATTCATTCTGTAAGCTTAACTTCTATTTCTGGCCTTCTGTGCAAAATTCTCAAGCAAACCTACATTCTGTGGAAGTTCAATTCGTGTCTCTGTATTTAGTCTCATCACTCTGAGGACGATTCCGTCAAGACCACGGCAGTCCTGTCTTCAACCAAGAGAGAATTTCCGCACAAAGTGTGAGGAAGATCAGTTAGAACAGCAGTCCTGAGACAATAACTAATTGCTCAGGATGATTTTGTACAGTATAGCACCAGAGTTACGCTTTTTTCCTCATTTCTACACCACAGTGAGTTATGCTTTTGGTACTTGAACTGGAACATCCTCCTGAAATTATTAATGCTGGCTCTCCCTGGCTTTTAGGAACACCATTTCATTTCACTTTGCCAAAGGAGGGTGATACCATTCAACCACTGACCAGCGTAACACCACCTCTCACTGGCCAACTTAAAATGGGACCTAGAAGACACAGCACACCAATTGGTAAGTTTAATCTGAACAGTTCTTCAGTAAAAACCTGTTCAGAAGCTTTTGTTTCTAGATGCAGAATGATTGGGTAACTCAAATGTATCATAGCAAAAAAGACATTAGTACTCTATGAGGAGGGCTCAGGTGCTGCTTGAGTATTGGGTTGTATGAAGCACATTCTCCTTATATTCGTTACATTTATGTATGCACATCATTAAAGGATACAGGAGACCCCTCTGACCAGAGAGTGGAAAAAATTAAGAAAGATTATTATTATTATTTTTTTTTTTTTTTGCAAGACTTTCTCTGCCAAGGTCACATGAAACAACAGCCTGTAGTTGCTGAATGAAGGGTTGCTTTGGTAACGGTAAATTGTTCTCATCATAAGCTGAGTGGAAACCATGGTGACTACTTGCATAAGTACTTTTTTGTTATTTTCCTGTTTCCAGTGGATGATAATTGTCCAGACAGCACGATAGCAACTAGTGACGTTACAGCAGAGGGCACAATGGGGACCAACAGTGTCACTGTGGAAAGTGCAGTGGTGTCAGCAGACGTGTCAGAAGTGTGTGAAAAAGGAGATTCTTGTGCAGTTCCTGAAGCTGATGTAAAGCTCTCTCTACGAATGAACCTTGTTACCCCCATGAATGATGGGAGCGACGAGTCCCTACCATTCAGCTTGGAAAGTAAGAGCATGAAGCATCAAAATGCACAAGTTATACTAGATCTTAGCCTTAACTCAGAATCTCTCTGTGGTGTTCCCCGATACAGTCTCTGTAATCCTGTTTTTCTTTTGGGACAGCGTCACTGAAATTTGCTTCTGTTTGTACAGTGCTTTAAGCAAGGTTAGAGTGAGAAGAGAGGGCTTTGTTATGAGGAAAGGTATTTCAAGCAGACTGAAAATTGTGATGTATAGTGGCAGTGTCCCTGGACAGGAAATAGATGTAGCTCAAGCCTACAATGGTGAGTTGGATGAGGAGATCTGGAGTCACTTGGTCTGACCTTGTGTGACCCCTCAGCTGAGTATGGGGTGCTTGGAAAGGCAGAGGAGACTGGCACTGAAATTCTCTCTCTCTTCCCTCTTGTTTCAGAGCCCACAGCCAGTGATAGGAAAACTGGATCCTCTGCTGCTGCCAGGTAACCAGGCTTGTTTATGTGCAGAGTTAATTCAGAAATCTGGTTAGATCCCTTTCCTACTCATTACTAGAGACGGGTTAAAAAAATTAAAGTGAGACACAGGAGCTCTTTTAGAGGCAGCCATGTCATTAACTCTTTAGTTCTCCAATCAAGTTTAAATATGTAGGCATGGATACAGGGTGGGTGCCCCACCTGCTGTTTCACTGCAGGTGTTGTGCTTCCTGTTAGCATCAGCATTTTGCCTCATTTTGATTATAGTCAGAACAGAAATTGATGTCTTGTGCAGTCCAGAATGCAAGTCTGCACTATCCAGCTCTTATACTTAAACACATGGTTTCCTCTTTTCTTACTGTCAATTTTCTACAAAGAATCTCAGCTCTGAGGAGTTCTGAAAGAAAATTCTTTTTGGTGTGAGGCTGATAGAAGAAACATAACAAAGTCACTGATGTACTGAGATCACAGTTTAATTTGTTGGCCAAAATGTAAGTTACTCCCTTGATCTTTTCCTCTGTATGTATCTATTTTATCTCTTATGTAAGAAATACAGTTTCAGAGGCTGGTTGCTGTGTACTGTATTTCCACAGTGCCTAGCACTGCTTGAGTGTAACTTTTGGGCTGTATGTTTTGTAAGTACTGATAATAATGAGTTGGAGGACCCTGTCTCTAGTTGTTGAAGTGAATGTAATGGTTTGAAGCAGAGAAACTTTTTGAAGTAAACTCTTTTTGAGGATAAGTTGCCCTTCTAGGTGTAGATTGAACTTTCAGGGTCTGCATTATGACTCTTACTTCTCATATTTTTGCTGTGTTGTGAAGATTGAGTTAAGCAGTAAATGATCTAAAGGTGTTCCCCAACGGCTACTGGAGGTAGTGGTTGGTGAAACTCCTGGTAACGCTGCAGTTTTTGACCCTCCATTTTCTGCAGTCACTAGATTGCTCTTGGCTGTGAGGTTGTTGGCAGGAACGCTTATGCAAGATGTTTCTTGATCTTTGAGTCTGACCATCTCATTTGTTCTGTGACTGTATAAGTCAACAAAGTCAGTGCCAGTTGTTGTCTTGAGGAGCTGTAGTTTCAGCGTATTTTCACACTCTCCAATGTGCTTTTCTTTTTTTTTTTTTTTAAATATGCATTGCCAGCTCCCAGAAAGCATCATCTGTATTTAGTCGTGTCTGTGAAGTTCGGCGAGAGGAGGAGGCTAGAGACCACAGCTTTTCAGCTTCTCCACTTAGGTAACTATTTGCAGTCTTTGCCTGCCAGTCATATTTTGTTTAACTGCACTTGTGTTTTTTTTTTTCCTGCATCAACAAAACTATGTTCAAAGTCATTGTCTTAAGTCTGGGTAACTTAAAATGTTGGGCACAGTGGGCTGAGTACAGTAAGTACTGTATGTCTATATGTCACTTGATAATCAGACTTTTTGACTGAGTGGTGATGTGATTCCAGCTGGCTGATAAACTTTAGTAAATCTGAAGCTTGGGAGGGATGAGAATACTGTTTCCATACCATTTCTTTCTCCCTTCTCCAGGTCTTGTGACCTATTATTGTCTTTGTTAGTGCCTGTCTTTTAAGTCCATATATTTTTGCTGTCTGCAGTCCCTTTTAAAAGGGCTGTACTCCTGCACTGCTGGTAAGGATAAGGCTGCCTGACCTAGTATAGAAATGACCTAGTATAGAAATCTGCTGCTTCACTGTTTTGCATTTCTGTCTTCTGATGAAGGCAATGAGGTTTTGACCTATGGAGAAAGAGTAACCCATATTGCAAGAGTACTGAATGATTACTCTGAATAGTGTAATGACTAGGGTATTCCAGTGCTGCACAGTTTACAGACAATGTGAGACAGTCACTCCTCAAAGCTTGTTAGATATGAAGAAGGCCAGGTGTGCGCTTCTAGTAAAACTCAGGGTAGAAGTGAGAAATAATGACCAATAGCACCACTGACAGGGCAGAGGAATTCTAGTGGAAATACTGGAGTTGGTGTGGATGCCCCTGCCTCTTCTTGGTGGATGCGATTACCGATTTCAAACTAACGGAATGCCGGAGCAAACTGTAGCAACAACATTCGTATGGCTTGACTTCCAGAAGCACTTTGCACAGATGGTGCCCGTTACATGAGGTGTATGTCTTATCAGTGTTTGTAGAAACTCCTGATTTCTTGTAGTGTCAGCTGTTCTTCCAGCAGCCACGTGGGTCAACTGAGAGATGTTGAGGTTATTTGATAATTTGAAAACTCAGTGAGTACCATGCAATCTTTAGAAGCAATTGGATGATTGCACTGCTGTTTTTTCAGTAGTGTTTTCACCTGAGTGACAGTATTGGGCTTCTTGCTTTTTTTTCATCAGTAATTTTGATCTGCATATAACTGGTTTGCAGGGGAAATCCACTCGGCTTTCCTGGCATGGAAAAGAATGCTGAAATACGTGAAAATCCTAGTGATCAGCAGCACAGAGCAGATGACAGTGGTGAACAGCCCCTAATACTTCAGAGGCTGCAGCAGGGCTGCCATCAACAACCTTCTTGTACAGAGCAGAAAGAGTCGGTGGAGGCTGGTATTGTAATAATTCAGATAGAAGAAGGGGCAAGAGTGCAGCAGAAACCAAGTAAGGTGGTTGCAGTTGATGAAAGCCAAGGGATGCAGCCAAGGGATACCAATAATAAAGGAATTCAAACTACAGCAGACTGTCTTTTTACCCCCGCAACTGTTACAACAGCAACGCAAACAGCAGAAGAAACTTATAGGCGAGTGGATGTGGGAACCAGTATGTGTGGGCAAAGACCTGGGCGACAAGATGTAAACATCCAAACTGAGGAGGGTGGACAAAAGCTTGTGAATACCCCTGCAGAAGACACAGACTCTCTACACAGTCAGGTGGGATGAAAGCTGCCTGTATTAAATTTTTACTAGCTTAGCACAGTGAAATATTCCTGCAGTCAGTAAACTCATTAATTTTTTTTTTTTTTTTCAACCAAAGAAAGACAGAAAACTATTTTAAAATGTTAATATCACAAGATTTTTTTTTTTTTTACTCTCAGCTGTAGACAACTGCTAAGGTAGCAGTACTCGCCTGATAAGTTTGGGAAGTAAATGTCTCTGTATTTTCTAGGAAAATATACTAGGCAAATAATTTTTTTTGTGTGTATTTCTGTCCAGATGTTGACAATTAAAAAAACTAAAAATCACCTTTTGTTGGAGGAAAAGTATGAAATTTTTACTGTTTGTGCCAATAAACTTCAGGCAGCTGATTCTGCCACTCCATTTGATGACAGTGGGTAAGCATGTCAAGGAATAGCTCTTCTAGCTAAGTATTTCAACAAGATTAATAACTTCAAAATTAGTATTTTAGAAAGTTTCTTGAAGGCTCAAGGAAGTCACTGCTTTGAAGCTATACTTTGCAGGTTTCTTGAGACTCTAAGGACTAGAAAATTCTTTTCTAAATTCAAATCAAGAATTTTGTGTCCTCTGGTAAATAGGAGATTAGAGGGCCACAAATACACTGCATAATGCTTTTGATTTCTGGATCTAACTGAGAGTATATGGAATGAACATCAGAAGCCATACTGAGCTGTTTCCTCCTTGGACTGTTGTGATTTCCCTTACCCCTCAACAAGTGAAAATGTTTGCTTCTCCCTTGTTCTGGGTTTTCCATGTTGCATCTGATTTTCAACAAGGTGGTGAAAAGCTTCCTACTACAGTGTTTGTGTGTGGTGTGGAGAAAAAATTGTACTGCAGAGATTGGCTGTGTGCAGAAATTGATTTTTGTGGTTGTCTGTTTTGATTTTAGTTTTTTCTCTTTATTACAGGGAGAGGATGAATTTAACCTTCATCCTCCCAGAGGTCAGGTTCAGCGTCGCCATGTGCGAACTATTCGAGAGGTGCGCACTGTGGTTACCCGTGTTATAACAGATGTTTACTACATAAATGGTGCAGAGGTGGAACGGAAGGTAGTTGAGGTAAGTTCCCATTTCCAGGGTTAAATTAAATAACATTGTTGGCTGAAGAATGAAGTAATGAAAATTAAAACATCATGGCTGCAGAAAGCATTAGTGAGTGAGCAATCCAGTGTGCTGTGGTGACAAACTGGTCCCCATGAGGGAATGTGTAGACCATCCTATGCGCATGGAAAGCTGTGTGGTTTTATGTGGCATTGGTGCGTTTTGTGCCTGTTCCTGTGTTCTCATGGCACACTTTTTGTTTTAATTACCCAGGAATGGAACAGAAGACTTCACTGAGCTTCTAGCTATTTCAGAATTCTTTCCATTTTGTCAGAATGGGCAGAAATTCTGATTGCAAAAAATCACATCTACCTGTAAAATTGAACTATTTCAGGCTGTTCAGTGTGTTACTTCTTACCCATGGTCCACAGGCTTCTGAGTCCTGTGGATCAGATTCTAGAAAACACAAAAAAATAAGTCAATGTTTACTGTGGTTTTGTTGCTGTATGTGCCATTCATTCATGAAAAGATCAAAAAAGGGAAATTCAAAGAATAGTCAACAGAAGCTGATTTGATATACATGGTAATCTTATTGGCCTGCTAGCAATAAAACTTTACTGCTATTCAGGTATACAGGTAAAAATCGTAAGTGTCTTGTGCTGCATTGCTACAATGAGTAATGGCATAAAGAGAAAAAATTGTGTCAGTTAGTTGTGCCTTCATACTTGTCACTACATGTGAAATTATTGTAATATTAAAATACAGAGTTAAATTTCCTTAAATGTTTGCACAGGCTGTGTGAACACAGCTGTATAACTGCTTTCAATTCATCTGTTAGCATTTGGTATCAGTATTTTGTTGACACACATCGTGGAACTTGAATAGCTCCAAATGACTAGCTATCAGGAAATTTATCTTGGCTTGTTAGTAACCAATCACTGTTACTATCTCAAATAGTTGTTATGCTCTCCCACTCTGAAAGGGTGGAAATTACTCAAAGCCTTACTAATTTTTGGCTTTGAATTTGTAGTCATCCAACCTCTATTCTGGTGACTTTTTATCTTTCTTTTTCATGTGATGTCTTTGTATAGGAGCAGCTATATGGTCAGAACTGCTGTGCGCCATAGATCAGTCCAGACTCAATCTGCATGGCTGTTTTCAGTCTCATGAACATGTTCTTAACTTGTCTGTGCTCTTGCCTGCTGATCGCAGAGCTTCCATCTAGCAAGTTCATCAGTGACTTTTTTTTTTTTTTTCCTCATAAGGAAACTGAGGAGCCTGTAGTGGAGTGCCAGGAGTGTGAGACTGACACATCCTCCTCTAGAACTACAGTTGGCTCATCACTGACTTCAGGGGACCTTGGTGATGTCAGCTCCTTTTCTTCTAAGGCCTCAAGCCTCCACCGCACATCCAGTGGAGCAAGCAGCAGTCTCTCTGCCACACACAGCAGCAGTTCAGCACGAGGCACTGGAGCTGTCAAAGGGAAAGTGTGTGGTACAGAAAGTGGAGAGTTTGCTTTACCCATTGGCAGAGGTGTCTTAGGGAAACTAAGGTATGTGTAGAGCCTCGAGAATGGGAGATAAGATATTTTACAGAAGTGAACAGCTGGCTTGGGTGGAATTTGAAGCAGGGTGGACTCTAAACCAGGGATTTTTATGTTGATGAACAGAAACAATGAAACAGTCTTTACTTTTTTTTTTTTTTTTTTTTTGAAAAAGTAGTGGTTGTTTCCTCATGATGCTTTGCTTTGCTTAAGCTCTTCAGGAGTTTAGAAGATGAGCAAAATCTTTAAGAGTTTTTAAGGGATATGGGAGAGTATAGTGAAGTCACATCTCTTTTTGTAATGGTTTACTGAACTCTTGATTTCTCTAGCCCTAGGAAAGGAGTTGGTCAACCAGTATCTCCTCTCAGAGTTAGTCAGGCAGGAGCAGCACTTCTGTGTGAGGAAGAGGAGGACTCTATGGTTGGTCCTCGCCAGGGTGGCAAAGCACCTGTGACACCTCGTGGGCGAGGAAGAAGAGGCCGCCCACCGTCCCGAACAACTGGAACAAGGTACTGTGGGAAAAGGAGCCTGTAATCTTAATCTATTGTTGAAGAAGAGAACAGGGAACTACTGTCAGAATGTGGTGGAAAATGAACTAAGTGTTTCAGGAGGTAATTTTTAGTGATAGTGTGTAGCAGCAGCAGGCATGTAGCACAAATATTTTTTTGGTAAATTTTTTGTTCCTTCTGGGACTGTTTTTGTGTTTTCTTCAGAGATTTGGCTGGGATTCCTGTTTTGGAGGATCTCTCAACTACAGGATCACCTGAGGAGAAATCATTTGTTCGTACAATTCGCCTACCAGATGGAGGGGAGAAGTCTGACACATCTGGCTTCTGTGCCTTACGTCGAAGTGACTCTCCAGAAATCCCATTACAGGTGGTGGCTGGTCCTTCAGACTGTGCAGACTCATCTGCTGGGAGCAGCTTTGTGGGCCTCAGGGTTGTAGCAAAGTGGTCTTCAAATGGGTACTTCTATTCTGGGATGATTACTCAAGATGTTGGAGCGGGGAAGTACAAACTTCTCTTTGATGATGGATATGAGTGCGATGTACTAGGAAAAGATATTTTGCTCTGTGACCCTATCCCATTGGAGACTGAAGTAACTGCGCTCTCAGAGGATGAGTACTTCAGTGCAGGTAAGGGTAGTCCTTGAGCTCAGTCCTTGAGTTCTCAAGCTGCCTAATCCAGTGAGAAATGAGTGCTCCTCAACCTGAGTGTCTTAGATTAACAATGTAATTTGCTGCCTTGTCAGGTGTAGTGAAGGGGCACCGGAAGGAGTCTGGAGAGCTATATTATTGCATTGAAAAGGAAGGCCAGAGGAAGTGGTACAAGCGAATGGCTGTGATCCTGTCTCTGGAACAAGGAAATAAGCTCCGAGAGCAGTTTGGACTAGGTCCTTATGAACCTGTCACCCCCCTGACTAAGGCAGCTGACATCAGTCTTGGTAAGGTGTGATGCTTTTAGGTTCTTTGAACTACAAGCCTGTCAGCCTGACCTCAGTGCCAGGGAAGGTTATGGAACAGATAATCTTGAGTGCAATCACATGGCAGTTACAGAACAGCCAGGGGATCAGGCCTGACAACCACGGGTGAGTTCATGGAAGGCAGGTACTCCCTGACCAGCCTCATCAGCACCTTCTATGACTGGGTGAACCATTTGGTGTCGATGTAGTCTACCTAGACTTTAGCAAGGCCTTTGACACTGTCTGCTGATTAAGGCTGCCTGAGTAGTTGGGATTAGAGGAATGGGAAGCAGCACTGCACTGTGGTGGGAAGTAGTGCCATGCTCTGGTTGGGCTGAAAAGTGAGCAGCAGTGTTGTTCAGATTAGTAGAACTGTAAAGGGTGGGAGCAGCACTGCACAGTTGGGCTGTAAAGTGCAGGAAGCAGTGGTACGTCCTGGTTGGTTTGGCTGGGAGAAGTGGGAAGCAGTGCTGAGCTCTCATTGACTGAATAGGGTGGAAGGCAGCACTGTGCTCTGGGCTAAAAAGTGAAACAGTGCTGTGCATGGATTGGTTGGACTGAAGAGAATGGGAAGCAGTGCTATGCTATGACTGGTTGGGATGAGAAGAGCAGGAAGCAACATCTTGTGATTGGTTGGGCTTAAAAGGGTGAGAAGCAGTGCTGAGATGAGCAAAAAAAGTGACACTGTGCTCCAATTAGATGGACCAGAAAGGGTGGGAATCAGCACTATGCTTGCTTTCTGCTGAAAAGAGCAGGAATAGGCATTGCACATGGGTTGGTTGGGCTGAAAAAGGGTGGGAAGCAGTGCTGTACTGTGGTAGGTTGGGATGAGAAAAGCAAGAAGCACCGTGCTCTGATCACTTGAGCTGGAAAGAGTGGTAGGAGGTGCTGTGTTCTGATTGGGCTGTAAAGGGGGGGATGCAGCACAGTGATCTAGTAGGTTGGGATCAGAGGAGCATGAAGTGGCAGCATGCTCTGACTAGGTTGAAAAGGGTGGGTATGATTGGGCTAAAAAGTGTAGGATGCACCTCTTCTCCAGGCTGTAAAGGACAGGAACAAGTGCTATGCTTCCTGCCTGGGAAGATCCAGGAACAGATCATCCTGGATTACATGCTTGATCAGATGAGGAATGAGCGTGTGATCTGAGACAGCCATGACAGCTTCACCAGGGGAGAGTCATGCTTGACCAATCTGGTGGCTTTCTGTGTTGAAGTGACGGTACTGGTGGACAAGGGAAGGTGACTGATGTCATTTACCTGGACTTGAGCAAGGCCTTTGACAAGGCCACCACATCCTTATCTGCAAATTGGAGCGATGTGGATTTGATGGATGGACCACTCAATGAATAAGAAACTGGTTGAAAGGCCGCAGACAGAGGGTGGTCATCATTGGCTCTGTGTCCAGGTGGAGGCCAGTGATGAGTGACATCCCCCAGGGCTCTGTCTTAGGACCGGTGCTCTTTAACATCTTTATCAATGACATCAATGATGGAATCGAGTGCAACCTCGGCAAGTTTGCTGATGGCACCAAGCTGAGTGGTGCATTTGACATGGTAGAAGGAAGGGATGCCATTCAGAGGAGGAACCTTGACAGGCTGGAAGGGTGGGCCTGGGTGAGCCTGGTGAGGTCCAGCATGGCAAAGTGCAGAGTTTTGCACTTGGGCATACAGACTGGAAGGAGCAGTCCTTGAGAGCAGCCTTGCAGAGAAGGACCTGGGGATCTTGATAGATGAAAATCTGAACATGAGCCAGCAGTGTGCTCTTGCGGCTTGGAAGGCAAACGGTATCCTGGGCTCCATCAAAAGAGGTGTGGCCAGCAGGGACAGGGAGGTGATTGTCCCCCTATACTCTGCTCTTGTGAGGCCCCATCTGGAGTGCTGCGTCCAGATCTAGAGCCCCAATTTGAGAAAGACAGCTGATGCAGAGGGTCTGGAGGAGAGCCACAAAGATGATCAGGGGTCTGGAGCACCTCCCTTATGAAGACAAGCTGAGGGAGCTGGGCTTGTTCAGCCTGGAGAAGAGATGGTTGCGGGGTGACCTCATTGCAGCCTTTCAATACCTAAAGGGAGCCTACAGACAGGATGGGAATCAACTTTTTGGAAAGGTTGATAACTGCAGAACAAGGGGAAATGGTTTGAAGTTGAGGGAGAGGAGATTTGGGTTGGATGTCAGGGGGAAAATCTTTACAGAGAGAGTGGTGAAGTGCTGGAACAGGCTGCCCAGAGAGGCTGTGGATGCCTCGTCCATCCCTGGAGGTGTTCAAGGCCAGCTTGGATGGGACCCTGGGCAGCCTGGTCTGGTATTGAATGTGGAGGTTGGTGGCCCTGCATGTGGCAGGGGGGTTGGAGATCTGTGATCCTTGAGGTCCCTTCCAACCCTGGCCGTTCTGTGATGATTAGTATGAGAAGAACAAGAAGTGGCACTGCACTCTGGTTGGACTGAAAAGGGCAGGGTGCAGTGCTGTGCACTGATAGGTTGGGCTGGAAAGGGCAGGAGGCAACAGTGCACTCTGGCTCAATTGAAAAGGGAGGAAAGTAGGACCATGCTGTGGTTGGGCTGAAAAGAGTGGAAAGTGGTGCTGTGCTCTGGCTGGGCTGAGAACGGAGGAGGAGGGAGGGAGTGCCATGTTGTGGTTGGGATGTGACGAGCAGGAAACAGTGTTGTGCTATGGTTGGTTGAGCTGAAAACTCAGGTAGTGGTGCCATACTATGGTTGGTTGGGCTGTAAGAGCAAGAAGAAGCACTGCACTCTGGGGTGAGAAGAGCAGGAAGCAGCACCACTCTCACTGGTTGGGCTGAAAAGGGTGGGAAGCAGTAGTGCTGGTCTCTAGTGGAAATGAGGATGGAATGCAGCGCCATGCTGTGATCAGGCTGGAAAGAGTGGGAAGCAACACATTGCTCTCATTGGCTGAACTGTAAAGGGCAAGAAGCATTACTGCCCTCTGATGGGTAGGGCTGAAAAAGGCAGGAACAGTGCATGCAGAATCCCAAAGAGGAGGAAGCCATGCTGCTTGTTGCTTGGTTCTTCTGAAAATAGCTGAAAGATGCATGGAGCTCTGGTTGGCTGGACTGAACAGATTGGGAAGGGAGAGTTCAGCCATCTTTGGATGAACACAGGTCATGGAATTAGGTGGCAGTAGGTGACTAGTTGAACTTTCACATTCTATTACAGATAATCTCGTGGAGGGGAAGCGGAAGCGACGCAGCAACCTTGTCTCTCCCAGCTCCTCCAGTAGTAGCACAACTCCCACTCGTAAAGGGATGGAAAGTCCACGTGTGCCACCAGGTGTACTTTCTGGCAAGAGGAAACTTGTTGCTTCTGAGGAAGAGAGATCCCCAGCTAAACGTGGCCGTAAGTCAGCAACAGTAAAGCCTGGTGAGAATCTCTTTTTGTAACTTACTGCATAATAAGTCCTAAAACGCCTTCACACTTAACACTGTGAAGGGTCCCTTTCTTTGGCAGCCTATCAGTAACCTGAAATATTGTCCCATTAGTCACTCCCTAGTTTTGATTTGAAGACTTTTTGCAACTATAAGGGTAAAAGATACCAATCTATCCTAGCCTAATCCTAACCAAGACCTGTTTCTAGTAAAGTAACTCAAGTTGAATGTATCCTAAATCCTTCTGCAGGTCTTTGTGCTGAACCTGACTTGAGACTTGTGGTGCTTCCATCTCTCCACAGGGGCTGTGAAAACAGGAGAGTTTGTGAGTACCTGTGAAGGCATAGATCCCCCACTACTGGAGGACCATCCTGGACCACTGCCGCACAATAAGACTCTCTTTTTGGGCTATGCCTTTCTTCTCACCATGGCAACACCCAGTGACAAACTGGCCAATTGCCTGAAGCCTTCAGATGGTCCTGCAGGGAGTAGTGAGGAGGAAGAAGGTGAGGTGAACCTTACCCATTGTATTTTCAAGTGGAATGCTGTGGCTGTAGGAAAAGGGCTGGATGCAGTCTGGTCGGGCATTTGTGAGTGCTTGTTTTATTCTTTTGCTCTTTAATGCTTTGCAGAAAGGAGCTAAGACTCAGTCTGTTTTAGAGAATTTACAGTCTGAAATATATGATGTTGTATCAGTTTATGATCAGATTATAAGGCTGCACAAACTAAGAAAGGTGAGACCAGCAGTTTGAGAAAAATGTAATATGAGAAGCAAGATTTTGAGAGATAAGCGATGGGAAAGTGGGGACTTGAAAGTATGAATGGGTTGCTGCAGTTTGCCTTTGAAGTAGGTGTGTTCTACACAGTGAACTTCAGCATGCAGAAAGCCATGAGGTGCTTACTTGGCTAGTTAGGCTAATAGTTGTTTCCTTTTTTTTTTTTTTTTTTTTTTTTGTGGATGTGAGTGGATTATAGCCAAAATCTTAACTTTCTATTTCTGTTTTAGAATTCTTAGAGATGACTCCGTATAACAAACATTATATAGCACAGCAGCTGCGAGCAGGAGCTGGCTATATCCTGGAAGACTTTAACGAAACACAGGTAAAGGCTTGCTTACTAATTTATAGAACAGTAGTCCAAGTAGTTGTGATTAGGAGTTTCTGTAGATTGTCTACTCCAGCACCTTGCTGTAAGCAGGACCAGCTTGAGCAAGTTGCTTAGGATCTTGTCCAGGCGAATATCTGAGGCTGAAGATTGCACAGCCTCTTTGAGCAGAGGTGTTTTATTGCTTTAATTAAAAAAAGTGTGTGTGTGTGTATATTTTTTTTTAAATAGAGTTTTCTGTATTTAAATTTGTGTCTTGTCTTAAGTGGATATCATCAAATATTATTTGTCTGTATCTTGTGTGCTTTCCAGTCATTAATATGCATTGGTGAGACAACTTAATCTCTTCATGTGTCTAAACAAGTCCAGCTTTTTCAATCTCTTGTATGTCATATGCACCAATTCCTAGATCATCTTAGAAGCAGGTCCAGCCAAGAGAGCTACTTCGATGTCTCTATCTTTCTCGTGCTGTACAACCTAATTTTACAGATCTGGTTTTGCTAGTGTTGCATAGGGCAGCAGGATAACATTCCTTAACTTATGATGTGGAACTGGGGCTGACTTGTGACAGGAACTGGGGATGTTCAATCTGGGGAAAAGGAGGCTGAGGGGTGACCTTATTGCTCTCTTCCAGTATCTGAACGGTGCTTACAGCAAGAGTGGGGTTGATCTCAGTGGTGACAGGATGAGGGGAAATGGCCGCAAGTTGCACCAGGGTATGTTTAGGTTGGACACTAGGAAACACTTCTTTACAGAAAGGGTTGTTAAGCACAAGGATAGGCTGCCCAGGGAGCTGGTTGAGCCACCATCCCTGAATATGTTTAAAAACCGTTTGGATGTGGCGTCAGGGATGTGATTTGGCAGAGGGTTGTTAGAGTTAAGGTAGTATGAGTTAGGTTGTGGTTGGACTTGATGATCTTCAAGGTCTTTTCCAACCTGAGTGATTCTGTGATTCTATGTTTTTCCTAATGCAGTCAGTGGTGCTGGTTGGCTTGCTGCAGAGACACTTTGCTTGCTCATGTTTGTCTTCCACCTGGAGCTCCATGTTTTTCTCTCCAAAGCTACTTTTCACTTGATCAGTCCCCAGACTGTACTTGTGTTGGAGTTGTTCCTACCGGGGTGAGGTACTTAAGATTTGCCTTTGTTAAACTTCATGAGACTCTTGTCAGCATGTTTTTTCAGCGTTGAGGCTTCTCTTGAGAAGCAGCACCATCCACAGTGGTTTTCAGCATCACAATGAGAAACTGAGTTATTTTAGTCAAGATGTATGTTAGGCATTTTCTCTTTTCTGTAAATACAGTTGTTTTTTTTCTGTGTCAGTGCTCGGCTGTGTAATGGTAAGCCGAGGTGGTGGTTGAGATGTAGAGGAAGGAGCTCCTATAGAGTTCTTTCCTCTTCTTTCATTTCCTTTTTCCCTTTTTGGCACTTCCTGATGAGTAGCAGGTAAATTAAACACAGTTCTTATAGGAGGGAATAATTAAACTTTTGTGATTTAGTGGTGATAATTCTTAGGCATTACCTGGGGTATCTTGACAGCTAAAGATAGTTTCTGTCTCCATGAGAAATGCTGCCTAGTTTAAGTAGGAATCAAGTAAAATGGGATGAGTAGGATAGCTCCTGTTGAAACATATAATGGGGTGATGACAGTTGAAACTGAAAAGCAACAGATTTACAATTAATGACTCATGATGAAAAACAGCTGTCAGTCTGACCAGGCATCAAGAAGCAGCTGAAATACACCCTCTCATCTGAGGAACGATGTGGAGTGGTTAGTCAGTATATATTGAGGAAACTTCAGATTGCAGAACAGACAAATGGAATTCATAGACTTATGGAATGGTTTGGGTAGGAAAGGACCTTTAAGATCACCTAGTTCCAGCACCTTCCTCTAGACTAGGTTGCTCACAGCCCCATCCAGCCTGGCTTTGAGTGCTTCCAGGGAGGAGACACCCACAACCTCACTGCACTGGGCAACCAATTCCAGTGTCTCACCACTCTCACAGTAAATGATTTCTTGTTGATACCTAGCCTAAGACTACAGTCTTCCAGTTTAAAGCCCTTTCCCCTCATCCTGTTGTTATGTGACCTTACAAAAATTCCCTCCCCAGCTTTCCTCTAGGCCCCTTTCAGGTGCTGGAAGGCTGCTATAACGTCCCCCAGAGCCTTCTCTTCTCCAGGCTGAGGAGCCCCAGCTCTCTCCTCCCCTCCTTGTAGGGAGGTGCTCCAGTCCTCTAATTAATCTTAGTGGATCTGCTGTGGCAACTCCATGTCCTTCTTATGTTGGGGGCCCAGAACTGGATGCAGTGCTCCAGGTGGGGTAGCAGAAGAGCAGAGTAGAGGGGCAGAACCGCCTTCCTCGACATGCTGGTCACACTTCTCTTGATGCAACCCAGGACATGGTTGGCCACCTAGGCCACAAGCGCACATTGCTGGTTCATGTTGAACCTTTCATCGATCAGTACTCCCAAATCCTTTTCCTCAGGGCTGCTTTTTAACTGTTCTTCACCCAGGCTTTATTGCTGCTTGAGATTGTTCCCAACCAGGTGCAGGATCTTGCACTTGACCTTGTTGAGCTTCATGAACTTGGCCTGGGCCTGCCTCTCTTGTCCAGGTCCCTCTGGATGGCATCCTCTTGTGTGTGTCAGCTGCACCTCACATCTTAGTGTCATCTGCAAACTTGCTGAGGGTGTACTCGATTCCTCTGTGAGTGCTGCTTACAAAGCTGTTAAATAGCACTGATCCCTGAGGAATGCCACTCATCACTGGTCTCCACTTCAACATTGAGTTGTTGGCCGCAGGAGAAGCATCACTGTCTAGATGAACAAAAAGGACAGAAGTTCATATTGACTGTCTGAATCTCAAACACAATACATGCATACTTATGTACTTGTGTGTGTATCTATGCATATAACAAAATATGAAAACTGAATGTCAGCTGCTTTTATAGATTATAATGGATCAGCTTAACCCAGCAGTTGATCACCACACAAAATGGCAGTTAATCTACTGCAAATTTGTTGTCTTCAGGTTAGCTGCCTATAAAGGAGTGACTCTTAGTAATATGGGCCAATTAACTTCAGAGATTCAAAGTGATGCTACCAGAATACAGATTCACTGTAGAGCTGGTGAAGGCCTTAAAAGTGATACTGTAGTTACAGAATCACAGAATCACAGAATTGTAGGGGTTGGAAGGGACCTCCAGAGATCGAGTCCAACCCCCCTGCCAAAGCAGGTTACACAGGTAGGCATCCAGGCAGCATCCAGCCATGTTCCCTACAGCAGGTCGCACAGGTAGGCATCCAGGCAGGTCTTGAACATCTCCAGAGAAGGAGACTCCACCACCTCCCTGGGCAGCCTGTTCCAGTGCTCCGTCACCCTCACTGTAAAGAAGTTCTTGCGCATGTTTGTGCAGAACTTCCTGTGCTGCAGTTTCCGGCCGTTTCCCCTTGTCCTGTCTCCACTCACCACTGAAAAGAGTCCGGCCTCACCATTCTGCCCCCCACGCCTTAGATATTTATAGACCTGGATCAGGTCCCCTCTCAGTCTTCTTTTCTCAAGGCTGAGAAATAGTTGTACCATCAGCAGTACTATAGTCTATTAAACAACTTTTGTCAAGCATCGCACTTGATAAACTGGACTTATTCTTACATATCCAGAAGATCAAGTAATTGAAGTTTACTATCGAAATCTATACAAAGGATTTATCCTAATCTTATGTGAAATTCAAGGTTGATGTAGTGATGCTGGCAGAATCTATGAGTAATGATAGCACCCAGAATAAATCTTTAACTTCTTTGTTTAGTTTACAACTCTTTTCCTGAAGTTTTATTTAGCATAAGATTGCAGGCAAAGCCAGAAGAATGTTGTGCAGACTTCAAGGCGAATTATAGACTTATTTTTTTATTTTTACTTTTCCTCAATTAAAAAAAAGCTGATTTCTAATAAAAATGTAAACTGTTTTTGGAGTGTCTTGCCTGAGGGTAGAATTGTCTTTACTTAGTTCACAGTTTAAAAGATGTTTCTCTTCCTTTATCTCAAGTAGAAGAGAGAGATATGATACAAAAGCAATAGGTGGAGTTTTTACATGTGCTACACAGCTTGGAATAGGTTATTGTGGTCTGTGAATTGAATTCACTTCTCATATAATAAGGCTGTGAAAAGTGTTTTGATTGTTTTCTTTGTTGCTGTTCAGCTGCAGATAATTTCAAGGCTTTTTTCCAAGCACTCTATTTCCAGTTCACATGTTTGTTTTTTTTTTAATCTCTCCTGAAGTGTAATGCAGCATATCAGTGTCTTTTAATTGCGGATCAGCATTGTCGAACACGGAAATACTTGCTGTGCCTTGCCCGAGGGATCCCTTGCGTGTCTCATATCTGGGTTTACGATAGCTGTCATGCTAACCAGCTTCAGAATTATCGGAATTACCTTTTGCCAGCTGGGTACAGCCTGCAGGAGCAAAAATTGCTAGAATGGTAAGTGCCATAAGTAATAACCAAGATGTAAGTGCACAGGCTAAGGATTTAAGGAAAGGGAGATCTTATGCTTGGTAAGCTTTTGAGTATTGAAAGTACTGAAGGTGTCTGTAGTACTGCTCTCCGTGTTTGCCATTTGTATAGAAATGCATTTCCGTTTCCTTTCCTTGGATGTGGCTCCAACACCAAGGTGGATTTGCCTGCTGTATGTACAAAAAGAGTCTCTCAAGAAGAGAGAGATTTTGGTCTGTTAAGAAACATGAAATTTAGGCAAGACTTCCCGCTCACTTAGCTGGACTCTCTAATAGCTTGGAGTGCAATACTGTTTTAACTTTCTCACTGGCATGCTTTGAGTTCAGGATACTTTCTTGGCATTTCTATAGAACTTAAGCACTGTTCTGTTCCGAGACTCCTTGGAGATGGTGGCAAGCAGACAAAAGCAGACGTCAGATCCCTGGAATTTCTTGGTCTGGGGACTGATGGTAGATTGCTTGGCTCTATCAAAACTGAGGTGTTTTGGGTATGCACGAAATAGGTTGTTCGGGATCAGAGACTAGCCGAACTCTGCATTCAGGTGGCTGCACCCGTGCATGTGCATACCCCCATGTATATGTGCACACACTGCCAGTGTGGTCTAGCTCTGTTTACTATCTGTAAGTAGAGGAAAATTGTTCCAGGTATTTCAGGAATGTGTGCTGTTAAGATATTAAAAGTACTAATATGGGAGCTGATCAGTTGCATGTAAACAGTGGTCCTCAAATAAAATCTGGGGTCATCATAGAATCGTGGAATGGCTTGGGTTGGAAGGGACCTCAGTGGTCATTGGGTTCCAACCTGTGCTGCAGGCAGGGTTGACAACTGGTATATCAAGTACTGGATGAGATTACCCAGGGCCCCATCCAACCTGGCTTTGAACATCTCTGAGGATGGCGCATTCACAACCTCTCTGGGCAACCTCCAGCTCCTCAGCACCCTCCTCCTGACATCCACTACACCTTCCTTCCTTTAGTTTAAAACCATTCCCCCTTGTCCTGTTACTGTCTACTTGTGTAAAAAGTTGTTTTTCCCTCCTGCTTATTAGTTCCCTTAAAGTATTGGAAAGCCATAAGATTATCAGGTATCTTTAACAGTCTACAATCATTTCTTCCACAGGCACCCACGAGAAAACCCATTCCATAACCTGAAGGTTCTCCTAGTATCAGATCAGCAGCAGAATTTCCTGGATCTGTGGTCTGAAATCCTTATGACTGGTGGAGCATCTTCTGTTAAACAGCATTTTTCAAACGCTAGCAACAAAGGTACTCATTGGCTTTCTCTAGTAGCTGGAAATCCTGTACTGCTCTGCTCTCTAGTATGGTTTTAAAAATCATTTAGGATCATTTGCAAGCATGTCTACAAGCATAAAGTAAGGCAAAATGGTGACACTAGCTCTCTGCCTGAATGTAATTTAGATAACATACAGAAGATCTGCCTTCCAGTGAATGATACAGTGCAGCAATTCAGGATACAGGCTGTCAGCCTTAAAGAATTGCTCCTGGGCCTTCTGTAGGCCACTAGAATTATTTCCATGTTCGTCTGAATTCCTGTATACATGTTCAACTTGTTGCTTCTCTGTATGGCATGTAGGTCCTAGCACTGCAGCCTGAGGTCAGAATGCATGGTTGTCTGCTCCTGCTTGTAATCTCGGTGACTGGTTTTCTGTTAACTTCTGTCTGCCCTAGGGGGAATCCTTTACTGTCCAGTGCTGCTGTATAGCTTGTCTTAACTTCTAACAAAAAGAATTCATAGGCTAGCAATGGGAGATGCTAAGGAGATTCATGGTAGTAGGGTGGTTAAACAGACTTCTCTGCTGTTGCAAGGAAGAGTTTTGTTTTGTGTTTTTTTTTTTTTACCTGACCAGCATCTCGTTCTTCATACACAGATATTGCACTGGGTGTTTATGATGTGGTGGTGACTGATCTTTCCTGCCCAGCTGTCGTCTTGAAGTGCGCAGAGGCATTAAGGCTGCCTGTTGTCTCACAAGAGTGGGTGATCCAGAGCCTTATTGCTGGAGAGAGAGTAGGCTACAACAAGCATCCAAAATACAAACATGATTATGTCCCTCATTAAGCTGAAACTTTGTCCTGCTGCCCCATCATTGTGCAGACTGTTTTAATCAGGTTTTAAATGTTTGTGGAATTGGACAGCGTGCATGGTTTATTGTATATAGTTTTATCTGCTGAACTTTTATCATGAAATAAATGTTCAATCTCTTGTGTTAGCTATTCGGTTTTCTCATTTATCTGCCTTGCCTAAATGAGGGCAGAGGGAAAAGAAATGCTTATGCTTGTCTGGGCTGAATAGCTTAAATGTTCTACTTTCTCTAAAACCTGACCCCAACACAAAAAGTCAATTACAAAGGGATGGAAAGGTGGAAGATTTTATTTACAGAAGGATGGACCTATGACAGAGTTCAGGGCACCGGCACCTCTTGTTTTTTGGAAGAATGGAATGTTGTGTACTGCTACAACTTGTTGGAACAAGATATTGCTGAAGCAACTGGTAAGAACTGTGAGGACAAAGTACTGTTTTGTTTTGGCTACTTTTTATTTTTCTTCCCTCCTGTTTTGGCTATACAGGTATTAACCCAACTCAGCACAGACAGGCAATACAAAAGTGGAAATGAAAAGGGAACTAGGATGAATAAACTGCTGGGAGCCTGAGGTGCAGGGAAAAATAAGTGCATGCCAAGGATTTATTTTGGTTCAGTACATTAGTCACAAGCAGCATTCTAAATAGCCTTGAATGAGAACAGGGTACCATGTGTGTATGTATATATATGTGTATATGTATATATATGTGTATATATATATATACAGGGTATATATGATGTCTAAAGTTTCTCCCTAGCTTTAGTTCTAGCACCTTTTTCTGTCACCCGAGGGAGATCTGCACTTTGAACAGTGCAAATATTAACAGGTGTGAATAATTCCAGCACATTAAAATATCTAAGGACTGGGCTAGCATTGTTGCATGCTTTCTCTGTAAAACTTAACTAGACTGATATGCTGGAACAGTGCACTGTAAAAGAAAAATATTCTTAAACTCTGTTCATTCCAGTTTACTTCAAAAAGCTATTGGAGCTGTTTCTTTTACATAAAGGTATTTGATTAGCAGACATGCAGTAAACTGGTTTACAACAGACAAGTTCAGTTTCTTTAGAAAGCTAAAACTTCATTCGTGGTCAAGGATGACAGGCTACTTCCTGCATATTCCAGCTTGCCAAGCATCGCAGTCCAACTGAACAGCCAAAACATCCTTCTGTGGTTTTTTCCCCACTTCTTGAAGAAGCATAGACTGCCTCTCTGGAAGCACTTATGAGTGTATGAAGGCTGCAGAAAGCATATTTGCACTAGTTCTGAACAGATGGAGAAGCTTTCTGTAATCACTGGGCAATTGCAGGTAGGTGGTGCTTCCTGCCAGTTATTTTTGACAGTGCTTCACTAGGCAAGAGCCAACTGTGCAGGCTTCACTGCTCACTCTGCTGTTGGTTGCAGCTTGAAGAAAAGATCTTAGTGCTCAAACCCCAAAACTGCAAGAAAAGGATGCAGTATTAACATATTAATAAATTGATATTAACAAATTTCATGGAGCACCCCTCTATTAACACATGTCACCATTTCTCAGTGAGCATTAACTAGCAGGTAGTTCAAAACAATGGGGGAAGCACATGTGAAAACCAGAAGCCAAGTCAGTCCGGTTTTGTTACTTCTCTATCACAGTACTCTTCAGCCTTTTGCTTCCAGTAATTTTGGCTTATGAAATGAACACTGCTTAATTATGATTGTTAGCATGCTTTATATTTCAAGTGTCTCAAGATAATTCTGCAAGTGCCCCTGAAGTCATTCCTACCTGCCCAAGGTTCCTCCAGCCTGTGTGTAGTATTTGTTATAATCCAGACGAAGTAGCAGTTGAGCTAAGTCAGAGTTTATTTGATGGTTTCGAACACTAGAGAGAATCTTGAAGAGCAGTGATGACTGACGACTGAACCCCTACAAATCACAGGAAACCTGTTCAATCATTGAGTAGCCTGAAGAAAAGTATCACTGCGAAAGACTTGCTAGTGGTCAGCTATAAGGTAACCTGTCAGCCAAAAGAATTAGGTGCTAGGTAGCCAAAAGGAGAGGTAAAGCCAGACAATCTACATCCTTTGTATTTCAAGAGGATTCTTGTAACTTCTGTGCACATATCTCCCCTCTGTGCGGGTGGAGATGTGGAGTTTTTCCTATCTGGGAGCTATTGATTAATTCAAGTAATTGTAAGCATTCACACAGAAGGTCTGATCTCCACTTAAAACAGCTGTAGAATAGGAGTAAAGTTAAAGCTTAGACGGTTGCAAGGGAGATGAACAAGACCATATCAACAGAGATTTACCTTCACCAGAATACTGAGTTGTGCAGCTCCACGCTCATCTAATGGTCCCAGATTCTGACTTACCAGAGAACAAAAACTATGACAAAGGTCCAGGATTTCATTTAAACAGTGGAAAACCTGTATGGAAAAAGAAGTACAGGTTACCAGTTACATACAGAGCTCAGCCTCAGAGGAAGTTTGGTTTTTTTTTTTTTTTTTTGTTTTTGGTTTTTTTTTTTTTTAGTACCTGAAAATTAAAGCATTCATAATCAAAATGATATGCTATGTTTTTCAGCAGTCACTAAGGAAGATGTTAAAGCAACTGTGGCATTTCAAAGGCCTTTTTTTCTTAAGGAAAAAGCTGCATGCTTCTACCTATCCCTGAAACAACTTGGGGGAAAAAAGTGAAAGCACGATCTACTTACAGGTTTTAGGAGGATGAAAGACTGAGCCAGCAGATTACTTAAGAAATGATCATGAGCCAGTCGTATGCTCTCAAAATCTCGTGTGGCATTTATTTGCTGGAGAAGCTGTGAGAACTGAGATTCCAGTACATCCACCTGATGAACACACAGAATCTTCATTAACAGCTTCCTTGAGGAACAGGAGTACCTCAGACCAGCTAGAAGTTGTGTAAGAAATTTGCTTTCCCTATCCTTACTCTTACACTAGAGGCTGAACATCAACTTCTCTCTGCCTCACTGATGGAGCTCTATGTACAACAACAGTAGAGTAATAAGGGAGAAAAGAATCAATCCCTGAATATTAACTAAGTAGACAAACAGTTGCTTTCTAACTAGTGGAAAAAGTTCTTAGGCTGTTCCAGAAGTTATACTTCCTCTTTGTTTCTATGGAAATGAAGAACACAACACTATTTAATCACATTCTCAGATACAAAGCACTATTTTTCAACATAGTCACCACCATTAGCTATGAATTTTCACCAGCAATGACCAAAAGCCTGCACCATGTACTCATCAGGGCAAAGGCTACAGAGCGAGAACTCAAGCTGTTACTCTAGAAAGTCAGGCCTCCCTAGTTTCTACTGTTGTAGCTATTAACAAATTGATTCTAGCAAAATTATGCTACTACTGTTTAGTAGTGTTTAGGTTTCAAAGTGAGAAAGCGTCTTCTTTCAATTTAAAAAAAAAAAAAAAAAAAAAAACTAAAAAAACACAGAAAACCATCCAAAAGAACTCAAAGTAGAGCTCGCTTCAAGGGGCAGAAAACCAAGACAGGATGGTATGTTAATGATTCAGCTTCAGGGATTAGCGGGGCTCCTCACAACTCCTTAGTAGCGCTAAAGAGCCATTTGCATTTCCATTACCACGTAAAACACTACCGATTCACACATCCATTAACCATTAATTGTAGCACTGACTCTGGAAACTCAAAAAAAGTTACAGTTTAAAACTTCAGTGCTCCCTCCCTCCTTCTATCAGTTCTTGATTAAGCGATACAAGTTCAACTCTGTTTAATCCTGACCTGGAGATAATACTGAAGATTGTCCACAAGGAAAGCCATGTGGTCCCTCAGACGCCACTTGATGGCATCAGTTCTGTTAGACTTCAGATGTTTACGTTGCATCTGGAGAGCCCAGCAGTGTTGTAGCTCTGCCTGGACCCGTCGCACGCTGAGCAGGTATTTGAACACAACATTGTACCTATAGTCAAAAACAACAAAGTTGTTTTAGGACAGAACTCTTTCTTGGGTACCGGAGAACACAACAGTGCAAGACTGGAAAGAGAAATAGCAGGCAGTTGCCTGCCAACAGACAGTGTAGATGAAGTAACAGCCCATCTCAGAGTAACAGATTTCTGATTGTAGTGGTTATTAATCTAAAAAATACAAAGTAATTCTAACATTACTGGAAAAGAGCTGGCAAAGTTTTGACAGTTTTGCTGACAGATTTACCATGATCTTATTTGGAACAAGTACCTCAACACGACTAAGTAGAAAAAGTAAGGTTCAGGGAGCAAGCTAAAGTGCTAAAGCCCTACCTTTCTCTCTAGGAATGGAAAAAAAATACTGGGTGCCTGATGTCAGGTAACTTCCAGACACAAAGGCAATACCTAGTACTTACTTCTCCAGAACAGCAGGAGTAAAGAGAATATGCAGTGGCCACTGAACTTTGTAAGAAAGGCCCAGAGCTGCCCAGCCAGACGTAGGGGCTTCACGTGGAGACAGCTCTCGGGAAGGCCCTTCGCGAGTCTGAGAAGAATCTGAAAACAGATAAGGTGCTTAGTTAAGTTGTCCTCTCAGTCAAGGTAAGCCTTCCAGACAAGAATGAAGAGGGAAAGAACAGAACAGGAAGAGGAAAAGCAGGCTAAGGTATCACACAAGGCTGTTCAGGCAAACAGTATTTCTTTACTCCACGGGAGGGTAAGAGGATTATAGAACAAGGTCATTATCATAATCCCTCTTAACTCATTACTAAAAATGCAAATAGATACCTTTATGCTCCTTTCCATGATACTCAATGGTCAAGTGAAGCAAAGGAAGAAGGTTGTCATCATCTAACAGGACCTTATGAGCAGACTGCTGAAATGCAACATTGACATCTGACAGAGAGAGAACACAAACATTAACAGAATACTCAAGAGGCAGACAGTGCTTATTTTGCACCTATTGATTATTCACATTGGGCCATAACGGACTAACATTATTTCCACTACTTTAACTCCACTCCGATAGGGAGAGAAGCCTATCATCTGAAAGTTACTGAAAGATTATTTTTGTTACTGAAAGTTATTTTTGCCCAATGTGTAATACACTGTAATTTAGAAGTGCTGCTCTTTCAAAACTAATGAAAACATCCAGAGGATAAGATGGGGAAATCTGCATTGGATTTAACTATTTTCCTGCCAG